GTGTATTCCCTGTAGTCCTGCTGAATAATGTTTGCCACATCTTCAGTAATTGGATAGTCTTGAATCATAGCAAGGAATGCAGCTAAACACTTTGTTTTGGGGCAAGAGATAATAATAAATGGATTATTTTGTGACAGAACTGCCACACATGAAGATACAATCGCATCTCAGCTCCTGAACACCTTGGGAGTCGAACGTTCCGGCTCCCCAACGATTGAAAATTGCAAGTGAGTGTTACGGTTTTTGAACATTCTTTTGGAATCCGAATGTCTGATGGGGCTTCCGCAGCTTCCGATTGGCTGCAGGAGTTCCCTGCAGCCAATCAGAAGCCACACTTTGGAAGTCGAACATTTTGGAAGTCGAACGGACTTCCAGAACGTATTTTATTCAATTTCCGAGGTACGACTGTACATTAATATTTTTTATTCTGGAGTCTACAATCTTTTTAAATTACTGAATGTATTTTCACTGGCTCTATATGGCTTAGAAATTCTATTTTCATGGTTGTTTTCCTGCTATGTGTATAGCAGAGCTGGAATAAAGAACCAGTGAATAAAACCTGGTTTGAGTGATTTCAACATTCATGCTGAGGCCAGTGTCTCTGGAGCAGCTAAAGTTTTAATAGATTTCGGTTTCTGGTTATGTCACAAGTCAATGGCAATAGCTCCCCACTGCCCTCCACAGGCAGCAGGAAGGTTCAGGCAGGGGAATGCCTGGATTTATGAGGCAAAAATCCCTGCAATGCTCCCAATGGGGTCTGGGGAGCTCGCTGCTTCCCGCTGTGCTGCTCAAGCCTGTGTCTGCCAACTTGAAAGGCAGAGTGGGTGTGACCTGGGAGTGTGTCCATGCCATGTATGAACCTCTGTCTCCAGCATGATTTGTGGTTGGTTCCTCCTTAATCTGGAATATTGTCGTTTAATCAAGAGGTACTCCTAGATCGACATGATAATGGGCTGCAATCAATCAGCTGCCAAAAGAACTGGGCTTGGCTCTTTGAAGGCATTTGAATGTTTATTTCTGAAGAGCCAGGGACTGGGCTTGGCTCTTTGAAGGCATTTGAATGTTTATTTCTGAAGCTTGACTAGCCTCACAACAGGTATGGAAGGGGGGGGCAAGGTGTTTTTTGCTTTCATATGGTTTTCAAATGCTCTTTTTTCTTGTCCTCCCCTATAAAATGAAAGAAATGTGTGAAGCTGTAGCTATGTTATTCTGGCTGCTACCATGGAAAAGAGGGGAGAGGCTTTTGATTTATGCTCAACAAGGAATTTAACAAGGTTTTATTATGCCCTCCCCCCTCGACCAAGGTTGAATGGACTTTATTGAAAATTGTATTTGGATTGGAGCAGGAGTGTGAAGGAACAATGAAGAGCAAGAAGATTGAATGGCTGCTGAATAGATCTGTTAAGAGGCCAAATTTGAGAAAAGATTTTGCTTTTAACTGTGTGCCAAGAAAGAACTCCACAGTGGAATTTTAATGGCGGAGAGTGGACATGGACATGGACATGTAAACAGCAGAAAGAATGGAATGTGACCTTGTCCCATTTTGATAAGCACTGCAAAGAACTGAACAATGGAAGATTGCTTCTTCCAGCACACCAGGTCTGAAACAACAAGGTATATGAAGGACTACACACATGAAATGGATTTTTTTATTTAAAAGATGTAACAAAGGCACTGCTTGTAAGGAGGAAAAAATAATGTGGTCAGCTGGAAGAATGGACTAACGACAAGTGAAGGATCAATTGGACATTAATTAGGAGATGATGCGGCTAAGGGAGGAAATGATTGACTTATGTTTGCAACAGGAGCAGGAAGCCTGATTTTGAGAAATTGTATTAAATTAAAGTAATTTGATTTGATTTGTAATAATTTGGAAAATTAATAAAACACTTTTTAAAAAAGTCTTAATAGATTTCACAACAGCCTTCTTTTTTTCTTTCATTGTATGTATATATGTTTGCATTTAAGCTGTGGCAACTTTCCATATGCATACATGCATACTTTTCATACAGTATTTTGGATAGTGACAGGATCGTGGGTGACTTTCAAACTTTCACATGTAATTTGATTCATTATATATCTTAGCTAATTTTTTATTTTTATTTTTTGCTGTGGAAACTCCACTTAACAGCAAACAGCAAAGACTCAGAAATATGCATTCTTCAAGGCTTCCTTCTTATTAGCTGTTCCCGATTGTTCAGCTCAGGTCTCAGCAAAATAATGTAACATTTGGGGGAAAAGATGCAACCCAGCAACCCAGCACTGGAGGCTAAGATAGAAAAGATCTCCACTGCTACCATGTACTTCCCCTTAGTGCTCAGGTAGGATGGAATAAAGGATAACCAAACACTGCAAAAAAGTAACATACTGAAAGTGATAAACTTGGCTTCATTGAAACTGTCAGGCAACCTCCTGGCAAGGAAAGCCACAGTAAAGCTCACAAAAGCCAGGAGCCCCATGTAGCCCAGAACACAGTAAAACATAGTCACCGATCCCTCATTACATTCTAGTACAATTTCTTCAGTCAATGAGTGCATGTCAACATCTGGGAATGGAGGATTGGCTACTAGCCAGGTGATGCAGAGTTCTACTTGAACAAAGGAGCAGGAAAACACAATGGTGTTTGCCAGTCCTTTCCCTACCCATTTCCTCATCCTGGATCCTGGTTTGGTGGCCAGGAAAGCCAGAACTACTGTGATGGTTTTTGCTAACACACAAGAAACAGCCACTGAGAAGATGATGCCAAAAGCACTTTGCCGGAAGAAACATGTCACATTGTGAGGCTTGCCAATAAATAGCAGAGCACTCAGGAAACAGAGCAGAAGTGAAACAAGAAGGGTGTAGGTGAGGTTCCGGTTGTTGGCTTTGACAATGGGAGTATCCTTCCACTTCACAAATATTCCCAGCACCAAAGCTGTGATCAAAAAAAGGCAAAGAGCAAAAGAGGCTAAGATGATCCCCAAAGGTTCTCCAAAAGTCAAATAGCTGATGCGCTTGGGAATGCATAGATCCTGATTTTATTTGGAAAAGTTTCATCTGTGCATTCATAACAGTCGCTCAGATCTGAAAAATAAAGGTGTGCTCTTACTCTCAGATATGTGTACTAAATTTATTCAACATGCCATAACAGTACCTCTTGCGTAGATACAAGGGATTTATTTGTCCTTTGTATTCCACCGTTCAATTTAAAAAATGTTAAGACACATACAAGCAAAACATGGGAAACGATTAATTAGCTTCTCATCGAAATGAACGTTACCGTTTTGCACTTTGAGTTTCACATTTCTTTTCAGTTAAAGTATTTGAAGACTTAAAAAAAATGATATCTTTTGCAAATGGCAATGACTCATCATTTTACTGATGGTGTTCAAAGCAAAAGTCAAAAGTAAAATTGAATATGCAACACTGAACAAAGGTGCCGCCCACATTACCCAACATCCCTCTTTTTGTTGTCAACTTACCAATGAGTCTCAGCAACCATTCAAAATGGCTTAGAAAAAAAACAAGGAATTAATTCTTTGACTTGAATCCAAATTGAAATGGTGTTGGACATTTCATACAGTTGGACAAGGTATTAATTTCATATTGTACTCTGTCCTCAAATATCACCAGGATTATATTTTTCTTTAAATTGCCATCCAGACCTACCAAATCATTCTATTAAACAAAGATTTGTATGGAACTTGTAAATTAGGGCTGCCATACATCTGGGTTTTCCCTATGTATGGCAACCCAATGTAAATACCAAAGAAACGCAACCCCAGAATTCATGTTTTGCCAAATTACAACCATTCTAGGTAAAGTGTATTTCTTACCTTCACGGTCTGAAACCTTCCCTTCTGGACATGGAATGCAATCATAGCAGCAAAATGGTTTCCCCTCCTTCACTTTCTTGCTAAAACCAGGATGACAGCTGTCAGTACAAACTGAGAGTGGACGACTCTAAGAAGGCAAATGAAAGAGAATAGCAGTTTTGAAAACAATGCACTTTGGTAAGCCCAGAAAAGATTGTTAAGTTCTGAGAAGGTACTAATGCACTATTTCTTTGATTATATTTCTATGGAGCTTTTCATTGGAATGCATCTGAAAGTGCAATAAATAATAACAACATGATAGAACTTAATAGAACACCACCAATGCAGCATAAATCATGTAGAATAATTATTCATATCATCAGTGAAACCATGATGGTTATGCCAAGTTGCTGGAGGCTGGGGAATTATAAATTGTTACTTCAGAGATAAACGACACCCAGAAAACTCCCAAGAAATTCACATTGCACAGGAGGGCAGCTCAGTTCCTCAACAGCAGCAATTTACCTGGTTAAACCAGCTGTGCCAAATTATGACATCCTCATTGATAGTGAACATTTCATCTGGAAAAGCCTCAGGATCTAACTGGCCAATTTTCTGTTTAGTTTGGTTTGATGAAAATATCCAGTTGATGACATCAAATCCAGCCATTAGCTCCCCATTCTTGTCAAAGGAAACTGTGTCCCCAGCACTGTTGTTAAATGAGACAGTTCTCAGGAATGATGGACCTAAATTGAAAAGGGAAAGGGTAGATTGGGAGAAATGCTGTTACGTATCTTCATTGCAAATTCATGCACGATTATATAAGACTATGTCCAGGGGCAGACTTCAGTAATATGGCACCCTGGGCAAAGACAAAATTTGGTACCCCCAAAATATTTCTTATTTTAACAATAATTCATTTTTCTTTATTATTATTTTGTGGCCCCATCGGCTTGGTGCTGTGTGTGGGAACTGCCTGCACTGCCCTAAATCCAGCGCTGCTATGTCCTTTTGAACTAAGTAAAATTGGCCTCTCTATGTATAGTTTTGATCGTCTCATACCTAACTGATCACTGTGCTCTGTTTGGGATTGGGCTTCTGCTCCTAGCTAAGGTTTTCTCATAGTCTTCTATTAGAAGCAGCTCTGAAGTAGTGAACCCAACAAAACTAGGGGTTCGATCCTATGGATGGTTTATTTATTTATCACTTTAGGCTGAAAGGTAAGATGGACCAATGTGTGATGGAAGAGCTCAGGTATCTCAATGCTTATTGACTCTTATTGAAGGAGTATGTCATTCAGACAATGCAGACACAGTGCTATTTTTCTAGAAAAAGAGGTGCTGGAATTCACCATGAGCACCTCCCTCATTCTCTTAGAATGGCAATCACGCTCACTAGAGAGGTGCAGGAACTAAGTTCCATTGAGTTCCTGATGAAAAAAAGCCCTATGCAGACGTATATACTGTACTGTGCTTATGTTACACACAGAGATAATGGAGACAGATAATTTAATTGTAGAGAGTGGAAGGAGGGTGAAAATGTGAACACTGATACAGTTTGGGGAGACTTTTAGTACATGGATGAAGTTGTAGTTTTACCCCCAAAAAGTGTGCACTGCCATATGAAGATGTTAAGCATTTTGTTTTTATTCTTACATTTATACTCCACCCTTCCTCCCAAAGGAGCCCAAGTTGTCAAAGAATTCCTACATTACCTGCCATGGATGTAGATTCTGAAGCTTCAGTCTCCCTCCATTCACCAGCCCCATGTATTTGAGTCTAGAGGAGGACATGGCTTGCAAAGCATGGCCACAGCATAGATAGCATTGTAGACGCTGTAGCTGTGGCCAATCATACTCATTTCAAAAAAATGGTGCCGTAAGGCTCTCCAGCTTCTCTTCCTCAGTGCAAATGTTCCCTTCCACCACATCCATATCTTGATGCAGAAACACGCAGCCAAAGGCATTTTGCCAGAAGTCCCTGATGAAACCATCTCCTGCTGTGTTAGAGGGTTTTCTGCTCTCAACAAATTGGTGAAAATGTGGGAGATCACTGGAGTGAATTTGTAAGGATATGGCTCCAGGGAAAATTTGCATATCCCAATCCTTCTGAAAAACAAAATGAAGTGAGCTCCACCTGGGCTGTTCTAATCCCACACTTTGCCTTTTGGATAATCTGACACCTGCTTTTCTTCTGATAAAAATGGGAAAAATCTAAAAAATGCCATGGAATAAGATGGCCCATATGCCAGCATAGCACTGGCTTTGCTGGCCATCACTTGGGCATATGTTTTTTCCCCTTCGTCAAACATCTCTTTAATGTTGGGGACAAAAGTTAGTGTGGGGATTCTTACTATGAAATCAAAACAGATGCCATTCTGGGAAAACATTGGAACCACAGTTTGCACAAATCTTTCTCCTTCAGTAGTATCCATAAGAACAACCCCAACCCATGTCCATTTGAAATGCAGAAGCAAAGACAGAATCCCCTCATACTGAATGGTTTCCTTCGGAATCATCTGATAGAAAGGGAGGCCTGGTGTTTTATCATTCATCACCGGGGCAGGGCTATATACTAGCTAAAAGAAGATTTAAGAGAGAAGGAAATGAAGATAAAATAACTATACGTAAAGGTAAACGACTCTGGGGTTGCGGTGTTCATCTCACTTTACAGGCAGAGGGAGCCGGCATTTATCCACAGACAGTTTTTATGGGTCATGTGGCCAACATGACTAAGCCGCTTCTGGCGAAACCAGAGCCATGCATGGAAACACCTTTTATCTTCCCACCGGATCGGTACCTATTCATCTACTTGCACTTTGCGGCGTGCTTTCGAAATGCTAGGTTAGCAGGACCTGGGACTGAGCAATGGGAGCTCACCCCATCGTGGGGATTCGAACCGCTGACCTTCCAATCGGCAAGCCCTAGTCTCAGTGGTTTAGACCACAGCAGCATGCGCGTCCCTCTGTCAACCACCCTACTATACAATTTCCATGGGCCTTTCCAGTATTCTGAGGCATTTGCTTTCTTTATAACAGCAATCATTATAATTGTTGTTGTTTTGCATTTATCAGTCACGTTATACAATAATAATTCTCAAAGTGATTTGCACAGAAAAAAATATGTCACATAAAATAAATTTGGGGGGAAAAAGAAAAAATAAATAAATTTAATACATAACAATTTAAGTTAATAAACAATACAATACAATGCTTAAATGTTCATATAGAAACATATTAACAAGTAGAAGTCCTACCCACCCCACTTAAATGTAAGCAACTAGAACAAAACCAAGAATAATGCATTTGTTATACAGTCATACGTCGCGTTTGCTTCAGGTTGAGTGTTTTCAGGTTGCGTCCCGTGGCAACCCAGAAGTACCAGAAAGGGTTACTTCCGTGTTTCACCGCTCGCACATGTGTAGACATGCAAAATGACGTCATGCGCATGTGCAGAAGCGGCGAGTCACGACCCGCACAGATGTGGGTTTGTGTTCTGCTCATGTTGTGAACGGGCCTCCAGAACAGATCCCGTTTGCAACCAGAGGTACCACTGTATGTATCTGTTCTTGTATTTTTCAGATTGGGAGTATATAAATATCCTATATTGTTAAAATGGGGGAAAAATAATATAAAAAGAATTATGAAAAAAATAAAAGGTAACCACTACTACCATTGGAGGCAACATTAATTAACCAAAGCCCAAGGTAAGGAAAGTGGTCTTGAAGACTGAAGGCAGACCAGGACGGTGCTAGGCAGGTCACACTAGGGACAGTATTCCCCACATATGATTTCACCACCCTATCACATTCTCATAGGGCTCCACTCTTCCATCAGGTGGGGAACACATAAGAGTGTGAAGACCACTAGGTCCAATTTTGCAACACAACTGCCATATTGCCTTTTGAAAGTATATATTGCCTCCAGCATTGGAAGCAGTATGGCTCTGGATACCAGTAGCTGAGGAGTTCATTCATTAACAGCTACCTTACTCTTAAGAATCAGAGATAGATTCTGGCTGGATTTTTTGTTCTGACACATTAGCTACTTAAACATATAAGGGAAAGGTCAGCTCTAATCTATCATTTTACAATGTGATCAGGGTGGGGTGGTAAGTATTCTGATCATTTTTTCAAAAAAGTCACCAACATAATCATAGTCTAAATTCACAACAATTTTTCTTCTCTCCATTGTGAATGTACAAGTGTTACATATGGCATTCAAAATATATTTGAGTACATAAAATGCACCTATTTCTATTGTCAAACATGACGTGTAATCTGCAAGGATTGTGCATGTGTGCAAAAGTGTTTACAGTTCTATGATAGCCTTTTACATATATTGACACGTACACAAAAATATACCATAAACATCTTACCTGGGGCATCTTGTAGATATCCAAGATATTTGCCATGTGAAGGGAGGTTTCAGAATCCAATCCCCCAATTACAGCTATTAGGTTATTCGGGGTGTAACATACATAGTTAGGGAAAAATCTCTCCAATGTGGACATGAGTAACATGGTGGCATGATAGGTCCTCATTGCAGTAAAATGACTGTCATAGATGTCGAATCCCAAAGTGACATTGGGTAAGAGCTGAAGGTTTTCATTGATCTCCTTTATTGCAAATTCCAAGGCCAAGATATGCTGGTAATTTTTTAGGTACTACTCTAGAACAAGAGTTACATTCTGTATAAGAAGGATATCTCACATTCATCACTTATTCTATATCAGTGTACCAGTGCCGTTTAATGTGGTAGTGTGTGCTATGCACATACAGTTCTACCTGATTACATTCCCTTACTACTGATTTAAGAATAAAAATAACAACACATGCTGAATGAAGCAAGCTGCTAGAATAAATGATTTATTGAACAACTCTGTTAAAGAGGAGGTTGCCTTCCTTTTATATGCTTTTCAGCAATTCCACATCTGTTCCAGCAATTACACATCTATAGGCATCTTCACTTAGTTAACAAGTCAGGTTGTTCTATAAACATGGCAAAACAAATTATTTCTCCACCATTCCTCCTCTGCCCAGTCCCTGACAGGAATACAACTGTTGTGGGCCTAATTTATTATAATGTGAGGTACAAAAAATAATACTTGAAGATAATAGATACAATACCATGACAATATGTAGAATTTCACATTTTGATGAACACTGATAGTATCAGTTGCTTAATATCATCAGTGTTGGAAATTTGGAATTCTGGATAATGTCTTGATAATTTACCAATGTAGAGAACGCTCTACTGTAATCTACCGGTATATGATTCAAAATAGCTTGTATTCCCTCACACATAAACAATGTTTCTAACTATATTTCTAATTATGTTCTCATCCTACAGTATGTACATTCATATGAATAACCTTCTTATTATATTCTTTGAACATTTACCATCCATTTCTATGTGTGGCAATGGTCAATTAAAGATGCTTAAAGATTCTTATGATATAAATCAGACTAAAGAAACAAACTACAGTGAAGCAATATCAGAAGGGATGTGGAACTTAGAATGAAGGTGAGAGAGAAAAAATGTGAGCTCGAATACAGTAATTTTAGAGAAGTTTTCTGTGAAGTAGTAACTGATCATAGTTTTTGGGTGGGAGACAGCTTAAATTGATTCTAGTACTGCCTCCCCATCCATGATAAGAAGCAGATATTTTCTTCAAGCATAAACGTTAAGGGCAATTGAGAGAGAAGAAATCCATGATCAGGATTTTCTTTGGTATTTAAGTAGTTAATAGGAGACAAAGTGAAAAGGACAGATTCAGATCACTGAAGGTCTGCACTTGTGTTATGATGCAAGGGTTTAAATATGCACTCAGACATGAAAACTCTCTGGGTGATTTTGGGCCAGTCACAATCTCTCAGCCGAACACACAGGGTTGCTGTGATAATAAAAGGGGGAGGAAAGAATCACATTGAGCTCCTTGGAGAAGTAAGTAAGTAAGTAAGTAAGTAAGTAACGTTCATAGGACCTGGATCTCATCCACACCATGACACCTACTTACTCTGCACAAATGAAGAAAATGGAAAAAATAAAAATAAAAAATCTTACATCAACTCCTTCAGCTGATACTGAGAGGTGGTATTTCAGTGAATGATATTGAGCTGGACATGATGAAACTTTGAGAGGCAATGACACCAATGATGAGGTCTCCTTTTCTGATGGTATTTGTGCAGTGGACTGTGTGGATACTGGACCCTGCCTTTAACGGGAGCCTTGCATGCCATATGAGGAAGCGAATGAGCAGCAACACCACACAGGGACCATCATTCTCAGCACAAGTGCAAAACACTATTCTATATGCAGATTCTCTTTTTCCATCTACAGAAACGCCACATGTGTTACCATTATTACAATGGCCTGATAAACCAGCAATCTAAATCTCAAAGTACAATGTACATCCATTCTTAATCACTAGACCTGTCTCTGAATGCTAGGTAATTTTTTTTACATTTATTAGGCTGTGTTACTAGTGGAAACTACAGCTCCCCAAGCATTTTTGAAAGACAACAAAAATAATTATAGGTATTAAGGGTACTATAATCACAAATTAAAGTTAGAGTCATTCTGGGGAATTTCGGGAGGAGGGGGATGTTTCCGACATCAGAACAAAAGCTTTCATTTTTATACTTGACAGGGTGTTGAAAGGCACTTGGGGTTTGAATGACCCGTCAAGAGTAAAGGATACCAAAATTACTTGAATTAACATCTGATAATAAGATAGGCCTGCTTTTGAATTTGAGTCTGACTATATGAATGCTTTGAACCCTTGCTTGACAGTTAGGCATTG